CGAGTGAGTTGCTTCACCGCTAATTAATTCCATTCCATGCTTTGAGATGAGAATAGAAGGGATGGGATTAGGTGCTAACCTTTATAGGGGTTAGTACCGTGATAACTAGCAAAAAACGCTATTAAAAATAACGAAATCACTACGGATTATTATAAAATCAATACAACATCTAAGCTAAATCACTACTAATTCAAACTAATAGTAGTTTTTCCCTTGGTTAGGACGGTGCTAACTATTGTACAATTAGTACCGTAGCCGATCCAAAGGCGGCCTTTTGGGTTTGGAGGCGGGGATTGAAACTTGAACTTGACGAGGAAATCAATGGCTTTTCCATTTGGCAGGCAACGTTGAAGACCGACCGAAGCAGTAAAGTTAAGGGCAGAGGAAGCCACTGCCTGCAGCCATTGCTTTTCTTTCTATCGGAACTGGCTGGGACGATCTATCTTTACAAGCTGGAAAGCATAGACTGACAGAACGGGGAAAGGGAAGGGAAAGAAAGAACGGTCTCCGTTCTTTACGTTCTGTCGTCCTCGCCACTGAACTTATATTCCGTACTGGGAAGGATTTTGCCAAAACCGCAAGAGACCTTCAAAAGGAAACAGTCCAACTAATTAGCGCTCCCACCTTAACATTCGATTTCCATAAGCTAAGCTAAGAATATATGGCAGCTAATCGGTCCAACTTTGAAATTTGGTGATTATCGAAATTTCAGCCCTAATCATGAATTTATGGTATATACCCAATGATATGTATTAATATGTGGAAGGGAAAAAATTGAACTTTAAAATATGTTCAGAGTCAGATATATCATCTTCATTCCATCTTTGTAATCGTCGAAATCGGGTAGCTCAATTGGTACGATATTGTCCACTTTAGGTCAAGCCCGCACGGTTTTACTCTTGGCGTGTCCTCCCCAAATGGCCTCATACTAATGAGCTTGGTGGACACTAATATACAAGGGTTCCTTCCCTTGTATTTCCGATGTGATACTTGAATTGTCCTACAACAATCCTCCCCTCAAGACAAGGACCACAAATTTCGTGTCCTCTCCTTAGCGATTATCTTGATCCGCCAGACACCTTGTATCGATGGGCTTCTCGGTACAAGGATTTTTCAGACGCGGAACTCTCTTTGATCCGCCAAACAAACATGATCTCTCCTAGATCCACCAGACAAACGCAGACCTCCCTTGATCCGCCAAACCAGATGTAGCCTAAATGTGGATCTCGCGTGGATCCACAAAATCAGACGTATATCTCCTTTGACCCGCCAGACAAACGCAGTTCTCAAACCCCGAGGTCACCGAATGAGGGTTCCACCAAACTGACGTCCATTGCACCGGATCCGCCTAACCAGGCTTTAATACCACTTGTTGAAATCGGGGAGCTCAATTAGTACGATATTGTCCGCTTTGGGCCAAGCCCGCACGATTTTACTCTTGGGTGTCTTCCCCAAAAGGCCTCGTACTAATGAGCTTGGTGGACACTAATATACAAAGGTTCCTTCCCTTGTATTACGATGTGGTACTTGTATTGTCCCATAACAATAATGTTATGCAGAAATTTGTTGATACGAAACTATGTAACGTACGGTACAACAAAATCATACCTTTATATAGTATGATTCTAAGTATCATTACATAATTTCGTATCAACAAATTTCTAATACGCATTCAAGTTATTATAATTTGGATGTTTTTACCTGTTATAACAGGTTCAATAGGTTGCTTACGTAAGATATAATATTCATTACATAATGTTTACTTAATACTTGTTAATCTTTCATAACGGTTGTAGATGTTCTTAAATAAGATTTACGTAAAAATTTATATGTTTACATAATTTATTTGTATTCTTTACCAGTGAAGACTAACATAAGTAGAGGGGGGAGAAAAAAAGCACATCGAAGGATATCATACTCTCTCTAATTTGAAAACACTCCCAATTATATCTAGCCCTCCATATCATTTTGGCGGCAACCCATCTCCCTTCATTTTCTTGCTTTTGATGTATGCTCATTTTTCTTTTATTTTTATTGCGTCTATCTTTCTATTTTTCTTCAATCTCTCCATGGGATATTATTGTTTTCCAACTTAAATCGATCCATTGAAAGTTATTGTGTTCCAATTTTTGGCCTGATTCCTCATATCTGGATCAGCTGAGTTGACTCCTATGAAATAACATATATACTAACCGTTAACGTGGATGGAGGTTTTCAGTCGATCCCTATGAATACATGAAAAATCATATAAATAATTTTGTCAGACACATGCACAATTTTTTGGTGACCACCAAAGCGATAGAATTAGTAAAGTTTGAATCCTTGAACTCCTGAATCCAAACTTGGGTCTTTACCATCTGTATCTCCCTTGGTGGTTGATTGTCATTAAGTGGTGGAGCTTTTGTCGAGTATTATTGTCGACTTACATAAGTAGTAATTCAATTGGGATTTGGTAAGGAGAGGGTGAGATGACAAGAACCAAACCTTAGGGAAACAAAACAAAATCATTTTTAGTCGTTAAAGAAACAGCTCTTGTCGGGATTATGGTATGAGTCTTTTTTTATCATTTCAAACTTAACCCTAATAGCTGTTGGTTGCATAATGTGATTGATGAGTTCTTCATTAAAGTGATTTAATTAGTTCCATTCCTAATTTCTTTTTTCATCTGCTTTCATCTTTCTCTTCTTGTAATAGAGAGAGAGGCAATCAGACTGACCGCATTAGTCGTATAAAATAACATCACGATTTTTAATGTATATCATGTCTGTTTGTATGGTAATTAATTATAAGTTGTAATGACAAACTATTACGGTTTGTAATGTAAAATTAGCTGGACTTGAATGAAAATTATCCAAATCAAACTCAGCTTGATAAATGATCGTTAACAAAGCTTGTCAAAGTAAGAACAAGTGTGGATTAAAATTATTTTGCCTCATTTTTACGGAACTGTTTCATTTATTATCGTTCTTTTGATACCTTTTGAAATGAAGTAAAGTATCACATTAGTATATTATGTATAACATATGACTAACTATACTTAGTACACAGTGAAGTCCCTAAATCCTAAACGTCATGTGAACATGTAAGTTTAATTTACAACACATGCAAAACTCTAAAAATAAAAATAAAAACGTAACTGAGACAATAATCCTTACCTAAAACATGAAACCCTAAAACTCTTTGATTAAGTGAAAGTATGAAACCTAAACCGCAAATGGTTAAACATTAATTAATATATGTAAAGTTGAAGTTGCCTAACAATTTATATTTTGATACCCCAAATTTAATTAAATCATAACTTAGTCATTACTTTATAAATTTTATATTTTGATATTCCAAATTTAATTTTAATACAAAATTATTGAATAATTATGTTTTGGTATCTAAAATTTATGAGATTTTCATACCTACAATTTTTTTCAAATTTACATATTGGTCCAATTTTTATATTTCACTTGAATCCGTGAATCCAATCCACCAATCCTTTTGAACCAATACATGAATCCAATCCACTAGTCATTTTGAACCAATCCATGAATCCAATCCACCATAGCATAAAAGTATAAATTTAGTTTTTACACTACAAGTTGTCGTATCACTTAACTGCAGGAAAAGATTCGACCATTTTATATTTGCTCATTACATGAAACATTAAATAAATGATAAAAAGATAAAACTCTAAAATATTGCAAGAGCGAATTTATAAACTCATTGTGTACATTTACGGGGTACTAAACAAAATTCTACTAACTACATCTAACAATATATGCGACATCTACATAAGCAAGTGTCGTTAAATTGCTATGGTGAAAATGGTTGACTGTTGTATTGACGGCTAACTAAAAGAATTGATCAAAATCTTTCCATCATCTACTTCCTTTTCGTTTCACTTTTCACTCGTCTTCCATAACCCTTTATTTATTTCATTCTTTGCCTTCTTCGTCTAACCTTAATTAGAATACTATTTTAATATATTCTAATCACAAGTATGAACGGGTCTATACACGACTCACCAACAGTCTAGAGAACTAATAATTAAACTATGAACCACTGACTTTTTTCAACTCAATGTCGAGCTCAATTAAAAATAAATATATATGATTATTACTTATTCGAAAGTCGTCATTTTCCACTATGGGGTTTGATATGTGTAGATATCTAGCTAAACATTCCATGTATATTTGTTGAAAATTCTAGCCCGGGTGGAAAAGAAATACTCTAGAGAGAAGCAAAAGGAATATAAACTTTTATCTACAAACTTCCAAACTCATATATACGTCACTGATACCCCTAGTCATAATCAATGAGTCTACTTGGGTTTAGGTAAATATCATTAACTAGCCAAAATTTTCAAAAAAAAAAATTAAATTGGATGTTGACCTCCATATATCTCTTCTCACTCAATATTATAACAAACCGCTAACAAAAAATTAATTTCAGACTAATAATACTAACAAAACACCACAACGAGCCACATAATACATGCCCATATACATTCTTCGCCCCACGACAAGACACGACATCGCTACCTAGTCAAAATATAAATTCTAAATCCTTAAATAATTGTTAATTGAATATTCTAAACCTTAATGTTCGCATGCCTAAAATAATGCATGTGATTAAAGCTAGGATTTTGCTACGGTGACATGCATGTCACCGTGACATGGACTTTTCGGTCGACCTAATCCAACATGCGGTCGACCGAACGGACTAATTCATGTATGTGGGGTTCCGAGACGCGGTCGACCTCTTACATAATACGATCGACCGCTTTGGTGGTCTAACAGAATGAAAGGTCGACCCAAATATCTCATAGGCCGACCCTTGTGCACCTAACAGGTCGACCTCATTATGAAGAGGTCGACCGCATTCACACCGTATCCGTATTGGATATGGATTCCAACACCAGAAAGGTTCCACAATTGGACAAGGAAACGAATTGGGTCGACCCATTGACGTCCTAAATCTCTATAAATACGAATATAAGTCCCCTTCAACGCCTCCAAGTCTGAATTAGGTTTCTTCCGATTAAGAGCCTTTGTGAAGAAGATCGTTCGCGGTTGCTGTTGTACGCGTTGGAAGTGGTCGACCAGGTCTAAGGTGAGGTCGACCTAATGTACCAATCGTCGTCTTTTTTTCTAATGCGTGATTTCTACCGGCTAATTTGATATATTGTTGGGTGCAGAATTCCATTCGGTCGACCGTGACGTCAACCAGGTCGACCTGACGAGACAATTCTGCATATTTGAATTTAGGCCACAACACTTGGATTTCTGTACTTGCGAGGTAACCCAATTGGTCGTCTTTTTTTTGGTTATATAGGGTGACTTTCTTGTATTCGGTCGACCTCGTACCGGATTAGGTCGACCGCGAAACCAACACTTGATCTTGATTTTACGTCAAATAATTGGACACTTTGATAGAATACTTATCTTCTATCTGGTCGACCTCTTTCCTTATCCGGTCGACCATTTTGTTAATGACTGCCATCAAGTGGTCGACCTATATACCTTAGGTGGTCGACCATGTTGTTTCTGAAACCAACGAAATGGCCGACCCGGGTTTTATTCTGGTCAACCAAAAATAACAACTTAAACTAAGTGCGGTCGACCAGGTGGTCGTTGAGGTCGACCGCAATGCTTTCTCGTGCTGCCCAAATTAGTCGATTCGGTCGACCGCCTTCAGCAATAGGTCGACCGAAAAGTGCATGTCACCGTGACATGCATGTCATAGTAGGCATACCCTTAAAGTTATTGTAAGCAAATCATATTGATAGTTAAATTTCCAACAATTCATTTTTTTTCATATCATATTGTTTAGTTAGTAATTCTTTATGTTTCTATCATAACATGACTCCAAACAAAAGTTCCCATCATATTGTTTAGTAGCAACTATTTAAGTAATTTAATATACATACTCTTCATGTAAATAATTAGTGATAACATACTCCCACTCAGTGGCTGATACATGGTGCTTTAGTGGTGTCCCGGGACACCCTTAAAATTTGGGATAACGATTATTCAACCTTCAGTAATAGTTTCGTATGGATAAACAAAATATAATTGATAATCCGGGACACCCCTAAAAATTGAAAAAACGATTATCTTACTCTCGATAGTAGTTTGCGTATGATTTAAAAATATATAAGTGGTAGTCTGTGTTATTCAAACCTAGGACACTACTATTATTAAACATATTCTTCATTAGGTTATAACTCATGTGTTGTTCTATTTTAAACATTATGTAATAGTAAAAAACACAATTCCTTATAGGGGAGATTTTTTAATATTAACTTAAAAATATTTTTTTTTTGCTATGGTGATATATTTTATGAATTAAAATTATGTGAATAAAAAGGACAATACTAAACAGTACAAAGCATTTCCCATATCATGCTAATTAAATCAAAGCAGTGTGCTATGTGGTGTGCATCCATTGTATTTGCATTGATTACAAATTAACAATATAAATAAATTTTCTTCCGAGGTGACGCGCTGCTCCAATAAAACAGTGGCGCTGCATCCAAAAATAATATGCGGTTTGCGGTTTTGGACTGCAACCGCGCGGTTTCGGATCAACCAGACCGCGAACCGCAAGTCACTAAAAATGTAGACCGCATGTTACACCGCAAGTCTTATGGTGCGGTTTAACTTGACCGCAAAAGCGATTCGGTGCGGTTTGGAGCGGTTTGACCGCACCAATGCCCACCCCTAATCTTGCGGGTCTAACTACATTTAATTTGTACAATCACCAAACGACACCTATATATACAGCACATGAATGAACTAATGATGAATGTTGGAAATTATGAATCTATAGCTCATGCCATTGCTAGCTTGATGGTAAGCTTAAGTTAAACTCCAACAACGGATAGGACATGTTTATGGAGTCTTAAGTCTTAACTAATGGGTGGATAGGGATAAGGGGAAAGGTGCATATACGGTGGCAGGCAGCCAGTGGTTGAGACTTTGAGAGAGTCTTCTTTCTCGATTGTCCAATATATATACCTAACCTTTGTATAGTTTAACGAAAATGAAGGTTCCAGAAAACAAGGTCACATGGAGGGAGGATTCGAAAGAAAGAAGAGTGCTAAACGACAGAGGAAACACATGATTATGGTCAAATTAGAGCATTATCGTGGGGCACTCTTAGAGGCCAGAGGATGGATGATGATGATATTTTCTCTCTTTATAAATGCGTTGAGTCTCATTTGCCATGTATGGTGTCGTCCATTTCTTGTACAGTGTCCATTTTCTTCCCCAAAACTTCGAATGTGACATCTCGACGTCCCTATCTTAGCTTGTCTGGTTAATCAAGATTAGAGGATCTTAATTTAATTTGCACCAATCGAATTTGGTTTCCAATTGCCTAGGAGATAGCTAACTAGCAACCACGCATTATAATAATAATACTAGTAAGGCCACACAAACCCTAATTGCTAATTATTCTCGCCTAACTATTTAGGGTGGCAAATGAGTCGAGTCGAGTCGAGTTTTGGTCTATCTTGAGTTCGGCTCGTAAATAGACGCGAGTTGAGTTCGAATCGTGTTTGACTCGAGTTAGGCTGATTAATGAGCTTGCAAGCTCTAATCAAGTTGGACTAATCAAAGTCTTAAACATCATATGTGGTGATAGGTATAATCTGACAAACCTATGAATTACCAACAAATCAATTTGTAAGCGATTAATCGATCAGTTCATAAGCTGCAAGCTAGTCGAGGTGGCTCTCGCTAGCCACTTTCAAGCCAGCTCATAGCTTAGTCCACGAGTTGAGCTCAATAAGTAATCGAATTGAGTTGACTCGAGAGCTTGCAAACTGAACAAGACTTTACTCAAACTCAACTTACTAATGGCTCAGTTTGGCCCTGTTGTAGCTTTTGCAAAAGCAGCTTCTGGCTTAAACTTTTAGAGAAGTACTTTTCAAAAAAAAAAAAAAAAAACAGTTGAGTGTTTGGTTGGAAATTTATTAAAAGTGCTTTTAATATGGGAGGTTGTGTAAATGACTATAAAGAACTTATAATATAAACTATGAATAATAATTATAAACAATAAAATATAGTCAAAATAGATCTTGTTAGACTTCTTATATATTAAATAATATGACTTTATACTTTATTTTATTTTAAAAATGATATAAATGAAATAAAATTAAAATATGGTAAGGATAATTTTGTATTTCAAAAAAGCTTTTCGCAGAAGCTCCAAATCGGAGCTTCTGCTTTTATGTTATACAAAAGCGCTTTTTGGCTTTTCAAAAACCGAACTTTTAGAGGTGTTTGACCCTGATTCAACTTTTGAAGTCGGAAATCACTTCTAAAAGTCGGGCCAAACACAAGCAATAAACCAGTTGAGTATAAATGATCAAGATTTTTCTAAATCAAATGTCAAACAACTTTATAAGTAGTTTGGCTCATTTATAATCCTACCATTAGAAAAATCGATTGAGGCAACAATGTACAGACAATGGAAAAAGTAATTATTAGTTTAATTAGACAATTTTTGTCTCGAGTCGACTACTAGTCTCGGTCTACTATACAAAGCCAAGCTAGGAGGTGGCTCCATGATTCCTGTTAGCACAGTGCTCGAAATATATATATAGTGGAACGGTTCCACTAAAACTCAATCACCACCATCTTCCGGCCCTACCCCAATAATGCAGCAAAGAAAGTAACAAACAAGCAACAACCACGACTTTAAAATCTTAATCATCCCGTAAATAAAAATAGACGAAAATGTAGTATAACATAATATTAACCTACCACTGTGTGGTTCGAACAACTCATATGCACCATCTCTTGATATAATGTGTAATCTTCCTTAGAATGTCAATGTTATGACAAAGTTTTGTTAATACACTACCTATAAAAGTGAGGGAAAATGAGCAAGATTTTGGTCTAATAGAAAATGAGAATATGTGAGGGATATGTATTGGTGAAGTATAGACACATATGATGTTGAAGTATAGAAAGGAATGAATCTAAACCATAGTTGTAGCATATGTTTGGGTTCGATATGGATAATGATTGAAATACCAAAGTCGCACCAAATCCATGAAAAAAATCACCTAAAAATAATATCGATTGAATTTTCACCTATCAAATTAATTCGGATGCAGTTGGATAACCGCGATGATATGTTATTTTGACTCCTAGTCCCAAATGAAGTGTTATCGTCTCTCTTAAGCTATACATTTTGTGAACCGTAGTAGGCAATTTGTATGATAATATTACTACTAATTATTATATCTGTAACGGTAGTTTATTATTATTATAAATGGATAAGAAGTATCCTAATCTTTATTCAAAATAAGTCGGGGTTCGGATATTCTTTGAATGTCATACAAAATCTCATACATCAAAGCAGGATCAGTTACATGAATAAAATGAAGGCAAACTCAAGCAACTGACCTCACATAACAAGAAAATCTGCGCACTTGTTGCCCTGTCTATAGGTGTGAGAATCAGTGACTTCCCAGTTCTTCCCCAGAAGCATTTGAAGCCGAGTAATGGTCGCGGCATGGTGGTAGTTGTTACATCTCTAGTTAAAGTATTTCATCATCATCCAAATTTCATATGTGCACAGTAGGAGTGGGATATTGGTTCGATTTGAATCAATCGAACTGAAAATTCAGAAACAGAAAAACGAAACGACCCCTTCTCGTGAAACCAAATTACGTCAAGACCAAAGGTCGGTAAGTCCTCTCAAAGGTTCGGTTTGGTTTCAAAGAACTTAAAATCGAACGGATAGTGTAATGAGTTTTTCTGTAGTGAGGTTGTGGTTTTTTTCGGTTTTAGCCAGATCGAAAACAATTAGTAACCGCAAAATGGTTTCGGGTCGGTAAACTAATAAGAGTGCATTACTGGTAAGTTTTAATTTGGTTTAAATCGAAAAATTAAAACCGAATTGACAACACTAATTTACCGTATCGACATACGTACAATTAAGTAATATATGTAATATAGATTACACTTCATAGTGGATAACTTATTTGATATTTCAGGATGGAATCTAGTGTAAATACACTAAAATAATAGGGGAACCAGTAGGAAGAAGTAGTACATAATGCATGTACCAACCGAGAGAGTTGGCCCCGCTCACCATCAACCATTATCCTAACCGCGCTAATAATGCACTTTAAAAATGAATATTTTCATTGTTAATGACTTGACTGACTAACTCCTCACCCGTAACACAATAATAATATGGTGGGAGGGAACCCCACTTTGATTGATGTTAGCAATTAGCATATTGAATTGAATATTAATCAATCTGCTGCGCTTTAATTTTAAACTAATCCCTGTATTACAAAAACTGAATTGAATAAAATTCAAACCAGCCGGCAGCCATGATCGAACAAACAAAAGGCTTAGGACCCAAGCATGCCCCTCAATCGGGACCCCCCAATTTTTCTGGGCCGAAAGTAAATTAGCAAAACCCCTAACCTACCGAGCCAGGGCTGCTGCGATTGCTTCAATTCAAATTAGCGGGTTAAGATGGGAATTTTCGCCATATTATTTTTTAATGTAAATTGCACTAATTTTTGAATACTTAATCTTCTTAATGGAAATCTTGCTCAATGTATCATTGCAAAATAATTACTAATAAATATTCTACTCGTTCGAAATAGTGGATTTCTTTTTAAACATAACCCACATGCATCATATTGCTGAAATATATAATTTCGGGAACTCCTGCCATGCTTTGAAGTTACTATAACTTAAACTTTTTGACCTGATATAGCAACTTTTATAGGTTGCATTACGTAAATCTAATGTTTATTACGTAACAATTATGTAATGTTTGTTAGTCTTACGTAACAGTTAAACTAGAAGCGTTACGGAAGGGTTCCGTAACGACTTATCATTTTACGTAACGCTATGTTAATATTCATTACGTAAAAACATAGTCTATTTCTATTACATAAGGCTTCCGTAATGACATTTTACAATTGTTAAATAAAAATACACGCTCATTACGTAAAGGTTATGTAACGAAGGTTATTTCTTATGTAACAGTTAAATTTGAAGTGTTACGTAAGACTTCCGTAATGACTTCCCACATTACAGAACTTGATTAATATTCATTACGTAAAAGGACCATCCGTTACGTAAGGCTTCCGTAATGACACTTTACAACTTTTTTTTACATCAAAGATACTTCATTTCACGAAATAATTGTGTTACAAGCAAAGCCAATCACAAGAGAGGGGAGACAAGATCAAGAATCTGAATCCAATCTGTTGGGAGAGTACCATTAGGCGCCTCTTTAGCAACCCAATCAACTCTTTTGTTACAAGCTCTAGGTACAAAGGAGACCATGATTCTAGCATTGATTGAAAGAATATGTTGCATACAGTGAATCCATGCCATGATCTGCCAAGGGCCTCTCTTGTTGGGTGAAAGTAGAACGTCGGTGATGCATTTGCAGTCCTAGAAGACCCTAGCAGAAAGATCCGTGGAATGTGCATACCTGAGAGCGACAAGCAAGGCTTTTGCTTCTACAACAATCGCTTCTGAACAAAGTAGAGTACCGGCCCTTCCGTCGATTACTTGCCCGACAGTGTTGTAAATAACAACACCATATGTCGCCACCTGTGATTCCGAGTTGAAAGCTCCATCACAATGTATTTCCAGTTGAAATGAATTAGGCGGTGGGTTAAGAATCTGGCGGGATGGATTAGGCTAATTTCTATGAGGGGATCGAGGGGCAAGAGAAGCATCCCTCCAATTCGTGGTAAAGTGGATTGTTTTGGTGATGGTGGTGAGGCTGTTAGATCGAGTCCCTTTGAACACAAAATCATTGTGGGCAATCCAGATAGCCCACAATGCAGCAATAATAACATAGACAGGGAAGGAGGATGTGTTCAGGGAGATACTTTGAAGCCACATGATAATTGGCCAGTTGCCCGTAGGAAGAAGGAGGTCAGGGAAGCAAGTGCTCCAAATGAGAGCTGCATGGGGGCATTCAAACATACAACAGTGCACGTTTTCAGCCCCATTCCTGCAAAGGAAGCAGATTGGAGAGCTGATCACCTTACAGAACCGTAGAATCCTTTCCGTTGCAACAACATTCCTCGTCAATCTCCAAATGAATGTTTTGATCTTTAGAGGGAGAGTAAGACTCCAAAGCCATTTCCAGGCTTGGGTGGAGCAATCTGGGTGGTTCGGATAAGGAGATCCCAATCTTTCTCTTTCAATGATTCTGAAAATGTGATAAGTTGATTTCACTGCAAACTTTCCAGATTTTTCGCGGTGCCAAACCCAATTATCCACGGTGTCAGGAGACCTGCAAGGAATATGTCGAGCAACTTCTGCTAGAGACCCATCATTCATCACCCATTCAAAGGCTTTGAACTGGGATCTTTGGGCATGCTGTAGGAAAAAACCCAAAATTCCAGGAATCTAGGGATCAAAATCAAGGATAATTGACGAGGCAAAAGCAACACTTTACAACTGCTACGTAAAGTATGCATCTATTATGTAAAGGTTATGGAACGATAGTTATTTTTTACGTAACAGATAAATTAAAAGCGTTACATAAGTTTTCCGTAATGATTTAACATATTACGTAACGAAATGTTAATATTTATTATGTAAAATGAGTGACTATTACGTAAGGTTAGCGTAATGACATTTTTCAACTATTACCTAAGATAAACACACATTATGTAACATTTACGTAATGCCTATTGTATTTTACGTAATGCGACTTGTGAAACATGTTATAGCAGGTGAAAATCATCAAGTTACAATAACTTCAAGGTATTGTAGGAATTTCTTTATAAGCTCATATATAAGGTGACTTGGACAAACAAAACAACCGAACGCATCCTCAAAGTGAATAACCGAATGACATGACTAACTTATAATGAGATTCAACCATTACAAATGAAAAGAACGATAATTTGCTTATATTATGTCGTCAATCTAATGATGAAAAGGTCGATGTTCGAAAAGAAATTGGTCGACTGCATCATGGAGAGGTCAATCAGTTAGGGTTAAAGATATCTCCATACCTCAAGTCAACACCCATGTAGAGGAGAAATTTTACAATGCTATATAGTATTGGTGCTATAGGTTTTTGCCTTTATGGTACAACTTAAATTTGTACATTTATGTTATGATACAACTTTAGATTGTACCTATACTTTTTGTACAAATTCTTTTATGGTACAACTTGAACTTGTACCTTTATGTGATGGTACAACTTCAAGTTGTAAAGTTGTACCATAACGTAATGATACAAATTGCTTTATGGTACAACCTAAACTTATACATTTAATGTTATGGTACAACTTTGAGTTGTACATTAAAGCACCAATACTATATAGCATAGTAGAAGTGCTCCATGTAGAGTGCTCTAACGACATTGAACCAGGTGAATTACGTTGCACTTGAAAGGTCGACGAGACAGCTGACGTGGTTGACTTATTGATCTACATGTATTGCACCAACAACTACCTTTGATGTTCCGATGTCTATTCTTTTTTCACCAAGCTCCAAAGTCACAAGAATTTGTTTAGGGTGTGTTTGGATAGGGTGATTTGGATTTGGTATTTGTGATTGGGATTTCTAAATGTCAAATCATGTATTTGGATATTAATTACATTTGGTATTTGGATTTGTGCCAAATGTATGGGGTAATTTCCAAATACATGTCTAGTGTATTACTCGTCTCCTAACAAAAGATTGGACCAATTTGTAAAATTTTCAAAGTTTAGATACTATAGCGTGAGATAAAAACATATAAGGATACCAAAAGCAAAATGTAATTTTACCATCAAAATTTCTGGACCTTTTTATCAAATTTTAAAAGTCAAGGTACTAAATTGTTAGAAAAATAAATTTGAGTACCAAATTGTAATTTTCCAAATTTGTCGTAAGTAACCAAGAAATTCAAAATTAGAATTAAAAAGCATAAAGTTTAAAATACAAACGAATTACAAATGAGTATCCAACAACGAATTTGAATTACAAGTATTTCAAATGCTAGTATTTCAAATACATGCATTTAAATACATATATTGCAAATACCCTACATTTCAACTACACCTATCCAAACGCAATCTTACACGATTTTTAGAGTGCTAAGTAATAACGTAGAAGGTTATCTATAGAGGTTTATGTTGATATTAACTCGAGTTAAGTGGTAGCAAAACCCTTGTTTAGTACTGAAATCTTAGTAGTGTAGATACAATTCCAACACTTATAAGATAATAATCAATCGGTCGATTTATTTTTCTTTGTCATGGTAGATTTGTGTCGTCCGAACGATCGCTCTCATAAAATAATCCCCCATTTTATCCAAAAAAAATCCCAATAACTTACAATTTTTCGTAACAAATTCTATCATATATTTGCATACTTTGTTAACAATCTCTCGCTATAACAAAATAATAATTAACAGTTGTATAACAAATTAGCATGATCACATTACCGTGTTACTTATATTCCCCCGCTCCCCTTCGATACGTCCCTTTCTCTTGCCTTAATGGCATTCCAGGTAGATTTCGAAAGATATTTGGGCAGTACAGCACTTTCCCCTTCCTTCATTTCCTCCTTTACCAAAGTTTCGAATATAATAAACTAAATTTAAATTAACTAACTAATTAATTAATCAACTTTATTAGCCACAATATAAAGCACCCGAAACTCAAAAACCTCCACTCTGTCTCTGCTCCCCCTTTCCTTCCTCCTCCTCTTCAAAAAAAATGCCTCGCCGTACTTCCTCATCGGGAAACTTCGCCCGGAAGCTCCAGCCGGCCAAACGCGCCCTCCGACGGCTCGCCCACAAGCTCCGATCCAACATCCCCCGGGCGATCCGGTTCGTCCGAAACGGCACGAAACGGGTCGTCACCTACTGCTCCACCCACCTCCTCCTCCGCAACAACAACAACATCAATCGCTCCTCCTCCCTACAGATCGTCGCCAAAACGCCGTCGTACCGTAGCCACAACCACCACAGTTACATCTCCGACTACTACAGCAACAGTCGGAACCTCCTCCGGAAGAGCTTCTCCGCCATCTTCATCGACCAGCTCTACGCCGCCGACGACGATCCACCACCACCAGCGGCCGCCTCCACCTCCGACGAGTATAATTCCAGCTGCAAACCCGCCCCGGCCGCCGAAACGACGACGGATAGGGTAGAGACGGCGTCGTTGAGGGGTAAGGAAGTGGCGGTTAGTAATAGTAATGAGAAAAGGCCGCCGTTGCCGAGGAGTAGTTGTAGGGAAGGGGCGGCGGTGAGAACGGCGTCGTCTTTGGTACAGAGGAGGAAAAGGGAGGCGTTGGTGATTATGGAGGAGGTGGGTGGTAATAAAAATAACAATGGTGATGAGAATGGTAATAATAATCCGATGGAGACGCTGGAGGATGCGTGGCGGGAAGTGGTGGCGAGGTCGCCGCAGCTGCAGCCGGTGGACGTGAGGGCGGAGGAGTTCATCCATAATTTCAGGGCGGATATGAAGATCCAGAAGGCCAGGTCGGTTCTTGAGAAACAGAGCCTCTTGCCCAGGCGTTGCTGAATTTCATCGTGGGAGAATGTAAAATGTTAATTACGAATTTGATGGAATGATTTCGATTCTTATTATTATTATTATTATTTTTTTGGGTGGGTGGGGATTGAAGTGTGAATTTAAACAAAGGGGAGTATAGGGGCAATGATGATTGATGAGAGGAAGATTAGAGCAGGGTTTAGGGATTTATTCTCCAGAGAGGTTCAATTTTTTGTGTTTTTTAAAAATTAGTCCCTTGATTATTAAGAGGGATTATTAGAAGGGCTTTGGTGTTAGAGGAGCCGAGGAGGGTGTTGCATGTTTTTTTTTTTTTTTTGGTACAGCCAGTGAGATTCCAACTGTGTTGGAAATTGGAATCTAACTGTACTTTACTTGTGCTTTACAGTTGATATGTGTTATCATAATTTGCAAGTAGGGATGATAGTGGGGCAGATTTAGAGTGGATTTCGCTAAAATCATCTACATTCCTAAATTTTCGTTGGTACTCATGTTCTCCTGGAATTCTCATCTGTATACCCGTGGATAATTATTTTCCCATATATGCTAATCAATTTCAACTTAATATATAATAGTAACTAGCTAAAAGATGTCATATACATGTTGACCGCAGTGGAAGGATGAAATGAATGTGTCAGTATTCTTTTGGAAGATCAATACCATTTTCTTTGTCAATATTATCCATACTAGTTTCTTACCCAATCAATACAAGAATTTCACTAACATAAGAATACGATGATCATCCCTGCTTGCAAGAAAAATAGTAACTACCCAGGTGTCAACAAAATTTTGATTAATTTGGTAGAGAATGTAAGCTAAGTAAAGGGTGTTTGCATGTTCAACCGACATACAGGCATTGCATATATAGCATTAAGTACACGGTTGAAGGGTTGTGGTGAAAATATACCTGCAGGTTTGGGAAACTTGTGCCACTCAAACTGTCATTGTATGTGATTCGCTTTAGGGTGATCGGTACTTGTACGAATTTTAATCTGTATTTATCTGATTCAAACTCAACATTTATTCATGCATATATGGAAAAATATGGGCATCCTGTTGTCAACGGGATGAAGGTCGGTTTGAATTGCCCATCTCTAAAGGGGAAAAGGATCGAGAGTACTTCTGGCAACTGCATGCCTGATTAGACAGTAGGGACATTGATCAAAAGCTATAGCTGCTTTTCTCATGGAGACAGGAGAGTGTTCAATGTTTATGGACGAACTCAATGGCTCGATGGATAAGTTCTTTTCACTTTAGTGCTCTAGGGGAAGAAAAAAAAATGTGATTTTTTAACAAAAAATAATCATACTGATTGATATAAAATATCAAGAGTGTTATAAGTATAAGTACTTATTTGTAATTAACCTTTTAGGTTAATACTCGGCCAAGTATAAATAACTAAAATAAGTTGTATGGTTGAGTTTCAGATGTAACGCATACGTGAACAATAAAATATATTTCGTGCCGTGGACTAGTCTCAACGATCATCATTGAGGAAACCACGTAAATCTCGTGTTCTATGTTTATGTTCTCTCAATTCAATTTAGGTTATTGACATGGTATCAGAGCCTCGCACTTTTAATCTCTGAGTTCGTGTTCTGGTCTGTGAGCTGGGTTTTGGCTACTCTTTGTTCTGGTGCTTCTCGTTGGTGGGCGGCCGATTTTTGGGTTTCTTTGTCAGCGCCTCTCTTGGTCTCGGCGGCCGCTAATGGATTTTTATTTTGTGGACTCGGCGGTGCTCTTTCTCCAGGTTCCCTCGGCGGTGTTTTTTTTTTTCTTTCTCGGCGGCAGTTTGGATCAAGCTTCTTCCAGCGCTTATTCGAGAATTGGCGGTGGTAATTTGTGTTTTGGGATTTCTTCTCGTGTGATTGGACCAAGCCTCTTCCAGCACCGGCTTGTTGGGCGAGATCAGAGCTGCAACCTCTGTTCTTCCCAGCTTGCGTGCCCTTCATTTAGTCATTTTCAGAATTTTGTTGCCTCGAACTCAGTCTCTTGATGTTATTCTTCCTATGGATCTCTGGATTATGTCTCATGCTGTGTCTGGAGTTCCTCTGGATTTCTCCTATCTTCTTTATGGTGTCTTCATGACTTTCGGAGACTCCAGTTTTCCAGGCCCACTTCCTTTTGGACCACTCATTACTCAGCTTGTTCTTCGTCTAGGGATTAGGATTTCTCTCTTTCAAACTGAGCAACCCTCCTGGTTCTTCTCTATTGACCAAGTTCTTGATATCTTGGAGCTTGCAAACGAGGGGGAGATGGATGAACCTGCAGAAGCTGATGATGAACCTGAAGAAGACCCTAATGAACCGATAGAAGAAGCTACTGGCGAAACTACTGGAGAAAACGATGCTTCTGTTCTTGATCATTTTGCTGCAGCTCTTGCCTATGCCGAAGAAGGGTTTCAAGTTGCTGCTGCTGCTGCGGAAATAGCTGGGAGACTTGTGGACTACAGTTATGATGATGACTTTGGTTCTGATGATGATTGAGTGTTTTTTTTTTTTGTCAAGGGGAGCTTTCAGTTAGGGGGAGATCGTTTGTTCTTTTTGTGCACCAAACTTGAAACTTCTCTGGTGTGCTGCTGCCTGTTTTGTTGAATTGTTGGTTGGATGTTTTTCATGTGATGATGCTATGCTTGATTATTTGGCCTGCAGTTTCTGTTTTCCTTGGGTATATGTGGTGTCTTTCTCTTTGCAGGTTGATAGTCATTTGCAAGCTCTGATCTAGGGGGGAGATTGTTGGGCGAGATCAGAGCTGCAACCTCGATTGGCAAGGCTGGAATATCAAAGTTGCTTCCATCAGAAAACGAAAGAAGTCCATTCAGGGAAACTCTATCAATGCTGATGCAACGGACCTTTTTCTTCCCAAAGGCTACAGTCTTGGTGGCTATATATTGTCGAGTCTGTCGCACATTCTGATTAACTTTTCAACTCAGAGACATTGAGTGGTATAGGACTGTGTAGTTGAGTGAAAAGGGTGCGCTTTCTCCAGGGGTATAGGGTCTGAGAGAAGAGGCTGATTATCTTTGCAGAGTTTTGGGATTGAAACTCTCGTTGTCTTGTTCGTTCTAGTTGGATTTATCTTTTCGTTGTAATTGTGTTGATCATAGCAGAAAAATCAATAGTGTCTCTCGGCAGTAGTGGTGACTATTGCCGAGACGAGGACGTAGCCATTTTTGGGTGAACCTCGTTAAAAGTTATTGTCTCCTTTTCAATTCATGCAACCTTCTTCCTTCTCTGCTTTGAGTCTCTGTTTCTTCTTCTGGAAATTGGAAGTCGAGCAGAGAACTGTTGTTTGGTTCTCCATTAAGAGAGTTGCTGAAAGCCCACTCAAGTTTGAGTCTGAAGGGAACGATTGGGCCCAAATAAACCAAAGCCCACATCGTCTTTACTTAAGACCAAAAGCTCTCTTTCTGATAGCTTTTCTTCTTCTCCATCTCATTTTCTTAAATCCCTAGATCGCGATTGAACTACAAGTGAGTTCATTCAAAATCCCTAATTCGCAATCGAATTTCAAGTGGTATCAGAGCCTTCCTTTGATGGAGTTAGCTACTGCCAAAGGGTAAACGATCCATGGGGTCAAACGCTCAGTCAGCTTTTGGTCCTGCTTCTCATCATAACCCACCTTGGTTCACCGACACAAACTACAATGCCTGGAAAAAACGCATGAAAACCTTCATGTGGGGAATCGATGCTGACCTTTGGGTTATTTTTCGGGACGGACCTGTCGAGATGGATCCAGAACTTCAGGATGAATGGACGGATGCACAGAAGAAAAGCGCACAACTGAATTGTCGCGCTATGCACATATTGCAAACCGCCATCTCACCCGATGAAATTGATAAGGTGGAGCAATGTGAATCTGCGAAAGAAATCTGGTCAGTCCTCGAAGCGACTTATGAAGGTACGTCAAACATCAAGGAAACTCGTATTGACTTACTTATGCATGAATATGAGACCTTCGAGATGTTGTCAAATGAAGGAATCCATGAAATGTATTCTAGGTTCACTGGCTTAACTAACAAATTGAAGGGTCTGGGTATAATCATTCCCTCCAAAGACATGGTTAGAAAGATTCTTCGTTCCTTACCTAAGGAGTGGCTGCCCAAGCGTACTGCCATAGAAGAAGCCAGGAATCTAAATACTCTGTCTGTTGATGAACTAGTTGGTTCTCTTCTGAGTCATGAACATGTGTTTAGGCAAGTAGGAAAAGAGGATGAAAGGCGCAGGAAGAATCTTGCGTTTAAGAGTCGAGAGCATGAGTATGAGTCAGACAATGAAACTGACTCTGATTTCGAAAGAGAACTTGCCTTGGTTAGTAAAAAGTTTCATAGAATGATGAAATATAAGAATAGTCAAAGGCAACGTTCTGCAGAAAACAGAGGTCGATATGAATCTCAAAATCATGCTCAAGAGTCAAGTAATCGTTTTACAGGAGCTACTAGTCGGTATTCTGATTCAAACAATAGATTTCCTGATTCTTATGCTAGGCAAAGTGAGTTTGCTAATCGAAATGGTGATAGTAGTAGAAATAGTGGGGGATCTAGTCGGGTTAAGAATGCTACTTTTGAAAGGTTTGCCTCGCAGGGAAGAGAAGCTGCAGGTTCTGATCGCGAGCCTCAAGGTTGCTACAAGTGCGGGAAGGTAGGACATGTTCGTGCGAATTGTCCTCTAACAATAAGAGCAAAAGGAAGAGCTTTGGCAGCTTCCTGGAGTGATTATGAGTCTGAAGATGATTTAGAAGGACAAGCAGAAGAAGCTTACATGGCAAACAAGATCAGTATGGATGAAAACAGAAGTGGTTCAGGTTCTGTAAATCAGCTAAACAAAAATGAAAGTAAGTGGTACCTTGATAGCGGGTGTTCTCATCATATGACAGGTAATGAATCATTATTCTCTACTTTCAGTTACAAATTAGGAGGGGAGGTTTTGTTTGGAGACAACAGTACAGGCAGAATTGTGGGACATGGTACAATTGGCCTGGCCCCAATGCCTACTGTTAAAAACGTTATGCTTGTTGATGGTCTCAAACATAACTTACTCTCTATTAGTCAGTTATGCAGTAGTGGTAATAAGGTTACCTTTGAAACCTCACATTATGTGGTTGAGAGAACTAGTGATAATAAGATGATATTTATAGGAAATAGAGTGGGAAACATGTATGTTATAGACTTTCTTGACTTAAGTGCTTTCAATGAAAAATGTCTGGTATCCCAAACATGTCATCAAGAAACTGTGTGGCATAGAAAATTAGGGCATATTAGCTTAAAAAGGCTAGCTTCTCTGTCAAATTCTAAACTTGTCCGTGGAATGCCTGAGTTAAAAGAGCGAGGGGATTTTTTTTTGCAGTGCTTGTGCTGTTGGAAAACATTCTAGAAAACCTTTCAAGGCAAAAACAAATGTCGCTACTACTAAACCATTTGAGCTGGTTCACATGGACTTGTTTGGTCCATGTACTGTTACCAGTCTTGGAGGCAAAAATTATGTTTTTGTCCTGGTAGACGACTTTTCAAGGTTTTCTTGGGTTTATTTCATTAAGTTTAAAGATGAAACCTTCAAACAATTTCAGTTCTTTGTCAAATTGCACTCGGAAGTTAAGTGTATCAAAAGTGACAATGGAGGTGAATTTGTGTCTGTTGAGTTTTCAGATTTCTGTGAATCAATGGGGATTAATCATACTTTCTCAGCTCCCCGCACTCCACAACAGAATGGAATTGTGGAAAGAAAGAATCGAACCCTGATTGAGACTGCCAGAACTATGTTGCTAGATTTCGATCTACCAAAACATTTCTGGGCTGAAGCAGTCAGTACTGCTTGTCATGTTATTAATAGAGTCTTGATTCGTAAGTATCTGAACAAGACTCCATATGAAATTTTAAAGAAAAAGACACCTAATATTTCCTACTTTCATCCTTTTGGGTGTCGCTGCTTTACCCTTAACACTAAAGATACTCTTGGCAAGTTTGATGCAAAATCAGATGAGTCAATTTTCTTAGGGTATTCAGTAAAAGGGCAAGCGTACAGGATTTTCAATAAGAGAACTAAGAAGGTAGAAGAGTCAGTTCACGTGTTATTTGATGAATCTGACTCCACTGCTAAGATCTATGAGCCAGGTACTCAAATACTAGATTTGCTGGAGCTTACTAACTGGGATCACCCAGAAACAACTGCTTCTTCTCAGAGTAAAGAAGCTGTCCAGACAGTATCAACCTCCTTACCAGAATCCACTCAGCAGAAGCATGTTGAAACAGATGCTGAAGTGCGTGCTCCACCCCACATTCAAAGGCGACATCCTGAAAGTCAAGTAATTGGCAATATAACAGATGGGTTGCGTACTCGAGGTAAATATACTCCAGGTCAGTATGCCTATGTTTCACAAATAGAACCTAAGTCCTATAAAGAAGCATTACACGATAAGGAATGGGCCTATGCTATGTTAGAAGAGTTAGCTCAGTTTGAATATCTAAAAGTCTGGGAACTTGTTCCAAGACCCCTAGGAAAGACCATCATAGGAACTAAGTGGGTGTTTCGAAATAAGTCTGACGAGGCAGGCAATATTACTCGTAATAAAGCTCGTCTTGTTGCCCAAGGATACTGTCAAGAGGAGGGCATAGACTATGATGAAACTTTTGCTCCTGTAGCCCGTTTAGCATCAATTAGATTGTTATGTGCTTTTTCATGTCATATGAATTTTCCTCTGTTTCAAATGGATGTTAAAAGTGCCTTCTTGAATGGTGACATTCAAGATGAAGTCTATGTGGCACAACCTCCTGGTTTTTTAGATTTCCAACATCCTGACTATGTGTATAAGCTGAACAAAGCTCTCTATGGGCTTAAACAGGCTCCTAGAGCTTGGTTTGATCGATTGACAACTTTTCTTAAAGAACAGGGCTTTACCCAAGGGTCTGTTGATCAAACACTGTTCACTAAAACCACGGGTCAGGATTTACTTGTGGTCCAAGTCTATGTCGATGACGTAGTATTTGGTTCTACAAATTCCTCTATGTGTACTGAGTTCTGTGAAGCAATGAAATCTGTCTTTGAAATGAGTATGATGGGTGAGCTTCAGTTTTTCTTAGGCTTGCAGTTCAAACAAACTCCACATGGTACGTTTATAAGTCAGTCTAAGTATATTCATAACATGCTTCAAAAGTTTAATCTTTCCGACATCAATTCTAGTCCTACTCCTATGGCTGTGAATACTAAATTGGATAAGGATGAAAATGGCGTACCTGTGGATGAAAAAAATGTTTCGTGGAATGATTGGCTCACTGCTTTACTTGACGGCCAGCCGTATCGACATTCATTATAGTGTCTGTTTATGCGCTAGGCTTCAAGCAGCCCCTAAAGCTAGTCATCTTGCAGCAATTAAACGGATCTTCCGTTATTTAAAAGGAACCTCAACAGTTGGTCTGTGGTATCCTAAGCATGACAGCTTTGATTTAGTCGCCTATAGCGATTCTGACTTCGCAGGAAGTCTTACTGATCGCAAAAGCACTAGTGGAGTTTGTCAACTTGTTGGCACCTCTTTAATTTCTTGGTCTTGCAAAAAACAAGGGGTTGTTGCTCTTTCAACAGCTGAAGCAGAATACATAGCTGCTGGAGGATGTTGTACTCGGCTTTTATGGCTGAGATATCAATTACATGACTATGGGATACAATTTGCTAGCTTACCTCTCTACTGTGATAATACTAGCACTATATGTATGACCAAAAATCCTGTGCAGCACTCCAGGACTAAACATATTGAGATAAAGTATCATTTCATTCGTGAACTTGTCCAAAAACAGGTTATATCTCTTAACTACATCTCAACTGAATTCCAGCTAGCTGATTTATTTACAAAACCCTTGTCTTCTAATCGCTCTGTCTTTCTTTGCTATGAGATTGGGCTGCGGTCGCTAGAGAATCTATCTGATTTCCTCACTTCATAGTTTCCATTTCTTGTTGCTTTATTGTTTCTTTTTCTTTGCTGTTCTGTGCTGATTTTTTTTCCCTTGGTTTTGTTCCCTAATTTTTAGCGATTTGTGTGTAGTGGCGATTCGCTTTCTCGTTCTTAACTCTCCTGCGCTCTATATATAGTTGTCTTTGCGTGTCTGTTTGTTTATCGTGTGTCTTATTTTTTTTCTAGCTTCC